ACAAGAGGTGAAATATTTAAAGGATACGGTGCCAATGCTTCCAAGGTAGCTACCACTTCCATGAATGCATCTTCTTCATCAAACTCATCTTGAGATTGAGTCAAAACAGTTTGTAATGGTTCACTAGATTGTGCCTGCAAGAACTTAGAGAAAACAATTGAATCAAGCACATCAATGGCATAGCACTCAAGAGATGAAGAAGGATGAGAAAGAGACTCAAACACTTTAAATTGCACGGTCTCTCCTAGCACTGTCATAGTGAGGAGTCCATTTTGCACATCAATGATGGTCTTGGCCGTGGCCATGAATGGTCTTCCAAGCAAAATAGGCAACTCTCGGTCATGTATAGGCGCTTCTTCCATGTCCAACACTACAAAATCCGCAGGCAAGATTAGTTTATCAATTTGAACTAGAATATCCTCTACTATACCTCTTGGATATTTCACGGATCTGTCCGCAAGTTGTAATGAAATGGTGGTGGCTTTCAATTCCCCCAAACCTAGTTGAAGGTACACGGAATAGGGCATTAAATTGATGCTAGCACCCAAATCAAGCATTGCCTTTTCTACTTTCTTTTCTCCTATGGTAATGTTGATAGAGAAACTCCCTGAATCTTTGAGCTTTGGTGGAAGTTTTCTTTGCAACACTGCACTTACATTCTCAGACACCACTACCTTCTCATGTGGTCCATACTTCCTTTTGTAGTTGTTTAACTCTTTGAAGAATTTCCCATAAGCTGGCATGTTCCTAATGACATCAAGCAAGGGTAAGTTAACATTCACTTTACTTAGAATATCAAAAATGTCCTTAAATGACTTATCCTGCTTGCTCTTGGCAAGTCTTCCAGGAAATGGTATTGGTGGAGTGTAAGGCTTCTCGGCCTTGTGAAGATTTGGTGCTTCAAATGAGGAATTGGCATGGCTTGGTTCCTCATTTGGTTTCTCATTTTCTCCTTGAGTAACCCCTGCATTCACATGATCAAATTCATTAGTAACTTCATTGCCAACTCTATTATCTATCACCTTACCATTTCTGAGTGTAGTGATTGCTTTGGCTTGCTCTTGGTTCCTTTGGAGTATCACGGGTTGGCTTGGAAACTTTCCAACCTCTCTTTGGTTCAAGGCATCAGCAATTTGTCCCAATTGTGTCTCCATTTTGTTTAAAGCCGCCGAATGTTGTTGGAAAGTGCTATTTGTGGCTTGTTGGAATTGCAAGGTGTTTTGAGCTAACAACTTAACCGTATCCTCAAGTGTAGTGGCCGGTTTTGGTTGGAAGTTTTGGAATTGATTTTGATTTTGATTGTTGTTCCTCCATGAAAGATTGGGATGATCTCTCCAACTTGGGTTATATGTGTTTGAATACACATCATTCCTTGGCCTTTGATTGTAAGAATTCATGAGGTTCACTTGCTCTTGAACAAACTCGGGATAAGCCTCCCTAGATGGACATTGATGAGTAGGGTGATTTGGTATGTTGCAAATGGCACACACCTCATTTGCTTTTGGCACCATGTTGAGCACGGCTTTAAGCTTCTTTTCTAGGTTAGCTACCTGCAAGGAAAGTTCATGATTAGAGTTTGTTTCATATACTCCAACTTTCTTACCCCTTAAATCTTTGTGTTGAGCATTAGACCCCAACATCTCATAAATGTTATATGACTCTTGAGCATTCTTTTTCTTCAAAGCTCCACCTGCTGCATTATCAACAGTGGATTGACATGTTTGGGTTAGTCCATCATAGAAAATTTGCATTTGTAAATGAAAAGGTAACCCATGGTGTGGACATTGCAACAAAAGGCCTTTAAAACGCTCCCAACACTCATTGAAAGGTTCTCCATCATCTTGTTTGAAGTTGAAGATTTGTCCCCTTAATGTGGCTGTCTTTTGGGTGGAAAAAAACTTCTCCAAGAACTTCTTAGCCACGGCATCCCAAGTGATGAGGGAACCAGGTGCTAGAGTCATCAACCAACTCTTAGCCCTATCTTTCAATGTGTAAGGAAACACTCTCATCCTCAAATTTGCTTCACTTACTCCCTGCAAAGGTAAACCACTTACAACGTTATAAAATTCCTTAACATGAGCTAAAGGATCTTCATTAGGTAAGCCATAAAAAGAGGGAAGCATATGGAAATGTGAAGATTTAAGATCATAGTTTCTAGCTTCGGTGGGCAGCAAGATGCATGAAGGAGAATTTGGTATGATTGGTTGAGCAAAGTCTTCCAAAGCTCGAAGCTCATCTTGGTTGTCCGCCATCTCTTCTTCTCTTTCCCAATTAATGTGCTCAGATCCTAAACTTGTTGAACTAGATGAGTTCCCTTCCTCTTCTTCACGGAAATTGGATGAACTTGTTGGCACAAAGTTGTCAAAAGTGTTGCTCTTTAACCGTTCAATTCTTTGGCCTAACTCAACAAGTCTATTTGACATAAACTACCTGAAAACAAAATAAAACAAGTTTGAATATAAATTAGTACTCTACTTAAAATGAAAATAACAATGGTTCATAACTAAACAAGCAATTACAAGGGACTGAAATCAGTCCCCGGCAACGGCGCCATTTTTGTTGTTGATATGTTTACTCCTTCCTAATGCTAAAACATATTGAGTATAATAGCACAAGTAAGGGTGTCGAATCCACAGGGACTAATTGGACCTATACAATCACTTGCTTTGCATGAACCATATTAAATGACTTAAACTAAGCAACTTAGACAGATTTGTTGTTGTGTAATTTGAAAACTCACAAAAATGTAGTGAACACAAGTGAATGAATCAACAAGTAATAAAATGGAATAACACCAATGGAGATGAAACTAGGGATTCGGTTTCACCATAGCTAAATCAATCCCATGTTTGTTAAATCAGTTTATGCTCATTCATTTACCTATTTCTTGAGTTTGTTTCACTTAGATATGATCAACCATATGATGTGTGGGTTTGATCAAATCATCCTAGTCAAGAACCAAATTGTGATGTGCAACTTTGGTTCTCAACCAAGGATGTTTTATACATAAGAAACTTTCACAAAACCAAAGGGGACACACGGCAGGATGTTTGCCAAACATCTCCCTCAATCATTCCCATATCTACCAAAATTATGCATGATGTGTGCTTCTAATTTTGGTTATACAACCTGTGATTAATTCAAGTGGTGATCAAGCATTAGAATTAACACACAAAGTCACAATGAAATCAGAGAATGAAACAAGAAATAAAAGGATCAAATGAGCATTATGAATTAACTACATGGGTTTCTTGCTAGGCTACATCGAATCCCTAAGAAGAGATTAGTTACATTTCATGTTTACAAACGTTTTAACATAGAAATACATAACATGAATGAACATAGAATTGAGAAGAAGAAACCCTTGAAGCAAAACTGATGTTGAAATCCTTCAAGAGTGGCCTTCAGTCTTGGTTCTCCAGATGTGTTGTAACATGAAGGATGAGCTGCTGTGGATGAATGGTTGTTGCTGATGGGAGAGAGAATGGACAGAAAAAAATGGAGTTGCTAGGTGTGTGAATGGTGGTATGGTCGAGCCTTTTCAGAAGTGAGATTGCATGGACTTTTAAATTGAAGTCTCTTGGGAGAACATGCGGCTGTCTAGCCAAAGAATAATGGAGCTGCCAATCTGAAATGATGATGGAATGAGGTGATTTCTGGACTAGCAAGGCACGGCACAAAGGAACACAAGCATGCTTGTGCTTATTTAATTGAAGATGCATGTGGAATGGCTGCAAGAATGCAGTGGACAAGCTGGAATTGTTCCCACATGCTGGAAAGGGGGATGAAAGGCACGGCATGGCTTTGCTTTGAGACAAACATGTGGTTGGATGGTTTAGTTTAATGAAGACACATGTGTTGCTGCAAAAGGGGGCTGGAAATGTAAATGGAATGAATTAAGTAATGGAAGTGCATGTTCTTGGTGCAAAAGGGAATGGAATGCACGGCAAGATTGATACATGCATGTGAATGCATGCTTTGGTGTTTAAAGTGAATGGAAGCCACGGCCAGGTTGTGAACATGCATGTGATTGCATGTTTTGGTGTTAGAACCACATAATCTGAATTCAATGATTTTGCCTTGCCTAGAATCACCCAATATGGCCGAATGCACCACCTTACACTTCCACATGTGTTCCTGAAATTCCATGCAGCCAAAGTAGCTCCTAAATTCTTCATTTGGACTTCAAATTAACTCCCTAGAATCCTCTCCACGTTTGGAATAATGTTCAGCTACCAAAAAGGGTTGTTTTTACTTCATTTGTCTTCCCATTGATCCAAATATACACTTGGCTGCACACTAGCACCAAATAATGTAAAAACACAACTAGCTTGATCCAAAAACATCACAAAACTACCAAATAAGGATGATATAAATGTACACAAAATGTATACATCATTGCTTCCATACAACTCCCACAAAAATTCCATTGACCCCCATATTCAATGAGTTACAAATAAATCAGAAACTAACTTGCACAAGTTTGATATTACCAACTCCCCTCCAAGCCTTGCACTTTGAACAACAATGGACAGGAGATCTATTCAAGTGTTTTTAGCTTTTTTTGTGTAATTGGGGTTTTGGATTTTGAGGGTTTTTAGGTCTATTAATGTGAGTTTTATGTTATATTTGAAAGTTTTTATAAAAAGTGACATTTATGAAATTGAGTATTAAATTTTGGCTATTAATGATAACTTGTAAGTGAAAGATTTTAGGTTCTATTCTCGTCAAAGGCGAATTTGAAACTTAGGTTTGATTCTCGCCAAAGACGAATTTGAACCACATTATTGCTAGCTCATTCTTAGGCTTAGCCCACTCCTTCACCTCTTAGTGTAGATGATATTGTTTGCTCAAAATAAATAAATAAATTAAATTAAAAATAAAAACATACATATGAACGGACCCATAAAGCAGTGTCTTATTCTGTCCCACCCAAAAGAACTTTAGTGGGCGGTTCTCTCTTTTTCTCATCATAGACTTGAGTCGATACGAACTTACAGAGGAAGTTGCTTCCTCACCAAGTTTTTAAATATGACTACATATTACTCATCATCATCCGAAGAATCCGATCCAGTGTCTTTTGAAATTCCAAAGTAATCCAGTTAGGCTTTTGCAGCTTCAAGCTCCATCAGTTGTTTTTAAAGATAAACTTGTCTGTTACTCTCTTACATTTACAGACACACTTCTTTGTTACTCTTACATTTACCTACACTTCTCCAGTTCTCTGTGCTTCCTACTTTCACTCTTACGCGCTGCGCGGATCGGTTTCTGTGAGTTCCCCACTTTCTGTTTATTACTTTGCAATTTGGGAATCAATAAATTTGGTTTATTATTTGGGCTATTTGATAACCATTTCGCTTTCGGTTTGTAGTTCCTGTTTTAATGTTCTTTTAACTGAATTGCAAACAAGTTTTCTGTTTTTTTTTGTTGAAAACTAAACGCTAAAAACTGAATACTGAAATAGTTATCAAACGAGCCTTTGCGTTTTGGACTCTAGTTACTCCAGTACTCTGTTTGACTCTGCAATTTAGCGAAATAGGTTTGCTGATTTAGTTATTTTTGCTGGAAACTTGGTGAATGTTGTAGTGAGAAGCTAACATGGAGAAAGACGGAAATAACTCTGCTGATCCTCTCGCTGTGGGAGAAGCCACACAAGAACTTGGTAACATCTCTTACCTTTTTCAATACCTTGATTGCCTCTTATAATTATTTTTAAAGGAAAATTAGGTTCACATCCTTCTTTTTGTTACTGCATTGATTAAAATTCTATTCATTTTCAATTTTTGATCAAGGTCATTGGATATTAATAACATCATTAATTATTTGAATAATAAAATATTTTTTATTTTTAAATATATTCCTTTAGTGTTAAAAATGTTACAATTAGTATATTTATATTTATAGCTAAATTTTTTTATCATATTTTTTTATTTTTAGTTTGTACCCTTTTTTTAATTTGCAAATATTTTTTAATTTGTACCAATTTTCTTTTCATTTTTAATTTGTACCCATATATTAGTTTCTTTTTGTGCCCATATTTTTTAAAGTTTTATTTGTGTTTGTACCCATGTGTATACCGTCACGTGACATTGTATATATAATAAATGATAGAAAAATTACATATGGTATACTTATGTTTTTATGCCTAAACTTTGTATCATATATTTATATTTTTAGTTTGTACCCACTTTTAATTTGCAACATTTTTTTTTTAAATTTTTAGTATTTTCTTTTTTAGTTTTATTTTGTACCCATGTATTAATTTCTTTTAGCGCCTATATTTTTTAAAAATTCATTTGTACTCATAGTTTTTAATATTTTATCTCTGTACCCCAATTTATTTATAATGTACCCATTCTTCTTTATTAATGTATCACTTTGTTATATGTTAAATGTACCAATTTTTTTTGTAAAATGTACCAATTTTTTTTAACACTATGGATACATTCTTTTGCCATTTATTATTTCTTATTTTTACATAGTTTTTATTCAATCAAAATGTTTGAATTTTTTTATTGTAACCGTTTCTAATAATATTATAATGAGGGATTATAAATATCATAAAATATCAAACAATTAATGTCAAAACTATAAAAATATAAATATTAATAGTAATATAATGAGGTGTACAAAGTCAATGGACCTTGATCAAATTTTGAATACTATTAAGGTTTTAAATCAAAGAATGTTAAAGATTAGAGATCGCATCCAAAGTATCCCTAGTTTTAAACATAACTTATTATCTGGTAAGTACCGTAAGTTGGTAACTTCTCTAACCATTTTTGTTTAACAAATTTATATATATGATTCATACAACTTGTTTTTTTCTATTTGTAATTTGTAAGTGTTATACTTGCAGGGCGTGAACCTTGTGATGATGAACAACCTCGTTATGTTCCAACCGAGCTGGTCAAACCACCGTGTTCAAATGATGCTAGTGTAATGTATCATTGCTACTTAATTAAGCTGAAGCAGAATATTGATTGCGATATTCCAGTTAGTGATATCGTACTTGCCACAAGGAATAAACTTGATTGTGATACCATTGCAAATATGAATTTTGAATTACAAGTTCAAAGGGGTCCTTTAGCAGTAAACTTTAAATATGCTGGAGATGTTAATCTATGTTCAGAGCAGGTACGGTTTCCAGTGTGTTGTTACTTTTAGTGATAAATGACATGATAAAAATATATATATATATCAATGGTTAATCTTGTTCAGAAAAAAAAAAAATGGTTAATCTTGGTTGTGTAATTTTATTTGCCAGGTTCTTGTTTGCAGAAGGTTCCAAATCACAATTTTTCGGATTCTGGTGGATCATGAATTGACAAAGTTGGAGAAAGTTTTAGAAAGATTTCATTTGGGACAAAACTATGGGACTGAATCGATTGATTACCTTTTGCTACCAGCAGCAAGGATACACCAGAGAGCTTCCATCATTGATTTAGACACTGTTATGTCTATGTCGTCCCATTGTAACAAAGATTTTGGGAATCGTGTTTGTGTAGATTGTCCTCAACCAAACAACAATTCCCATGTTCCACTACATACCAAAAATGGTATGGTTTGTACGTGCAGGATCCAGAATTCCGTGGTCTATACGCCTCATACCGATGGCCTGTATTGCATCACTGGCCTGTTGGATGACTTGACTGGAAACTCACTAATGAGGGACAACAAATCTATTACCTACAAAGCCTACTATGAAGCAAAGTACGTTCTTCTATTGTTACCTCTTTTGTATTTGCATGTCTTGTTGCATTAAGGATCAAGCGTTTCCAAAGAAAAAGAAATCATGAAGTATTCGGTGTAGTTTCAGTTTATGTTGGATAAAAATGATATATGCAAGCTATTTTTGAGTAACTCGGATGGTTTCCTTACTGCAGGCATGGGATCAACATGCGTTTTGATCAACAGTTATTGCTTAATGGGCGAGGCATCTTTCGGCTACAAAATTATCTTCTGTGGTCCAGACAACAGAGAAAAAGAGGTCTGAATTCCTAACCTCTTTTAGATAGGAAGCCTGGTATCATTTAATTCTTCTGTTTGTTTTCTGCTCTGCTTTAATATTTCCTATTGGATGAAAATTTTGATCAATAGTTCATAATCCACCTCTAAAACATATACATACATATATTGATTAGAGGAAAATGCACATGGTTGCTAACTTGCTATTCCGTTGTTAGTTGAAATCGAATTGATACCGTTGAGAACGCATTTTAATTTTTTTTGGCACAAAGTCTTGCAGAATCAAAAGTTAATCCAATCTTATCTCATAATTAATCGTTATCAAATAAGAAGCTTAATGTGTGTCACTTATTTGCAGGATCAAGTCATGCATCCGTTCAACTGCCGCCAGAACTTTGCACTATAATCATGTCACCTATATCAATCAGCAATTTATATTCATTCTCACTTGTTCCGTCCATCATGCATCGGCTTGAGTCATTACTACTCGCTGTCAACTTGAAACAGATGATTTTGGATCATTTGCCGCAAAATGTTACCATCCCAACCATTAAGGTATACTACATTTTTTCATTCGGAAGGGTATTGTCCTATATTTAATGAACCATTTATGTATTGATAAGGTACTAGATTTCTGAATTTTTGCTGTTAAATTTCTCTTTGTAGGTCTTGGAATCTATTACTACAGAAGGTTGCCAAGAGAACTTAGATTTGGAATCCTTGGAGACTCTTGGAGATTCCTTTCTTAAGTATGCTGCAAGTCAGCAGTTTTTCAAAACCTGTCAAAATGATCGTGAGGGCCTCCTTAGCGAATATAAGGAACACATAATTTCTAATCTTTCCCTGGGCAAGCTTGGATGTGACCGTAAAATTTCGGTAACAATTATTTATTCAATCATTTCATTTCGGGTTATAATCTTGTTATCCTCGTGAATTTTTCTGAAAGCTGCATTCAAATTGTTACCGCTATGCTTGTAGAACTTTTTTCTATAAACTTTCCTGCTTGACTAATCTGCCATTGTTTACGTGTTGTAGGGTTTTATTCGTAACGAGACTTTTGATCCAAAAAAGTGGATTATACCTGGAGATTATTGTAGAAGTTATTTCTTAAATGAGGAGTTGCTTTTTGATAAAAGAAGCATCTATGTTGGGGGAACAAGGAAGATCGATGCTAAAATTGTTGCGGACGTAGTTGAGGCACTAATCGGTGCATTTCTTAGCACAGGTGGTGAACTAGATGCCATATATTTCATGAACTGGGTTGGTATAGAGGTGGATTTAGACCACATACGATATGAGAGGCACTTACAAGTGCAGTCAGAGATACCCGTTGATGTTGGACATTTAGAGTCATTGCTTGACTATAAATTTCAGGATCCTTCTCTTCTCGTGGAAGCATTAAGCCATGGTTCTTATATTCCCGGAGGTTACCAGGTATGTGCAATGATGTGACGACAATGAAACGTATTCCATGCGTATCTACTTTTTATAACGATGTAGTTTTTGTAACTTCAAATTTTACTGGATTCTGTCTGTAATGTGGAAGCTGGTATGTATAAAAGTTTAGTCCCGAAAGCCGCAAGCTTATTCAGCTAATGCACATCATCAGTTAAACAATTTCACTTAATTTTTAGGCCACTTGTTACTTTCCCTACTATGTGTTCCTAACTTTTCAGATGTACATTCTTTGTTGTGCAGCGGCTAGAATTTCTTGGTGATGCGGTGTTGGATTATATGATCACTACTTATTTTTACGATAAGTATCCTGAGATGATGTCCCCAGGAATTTTAACTATTCTGAGGTCTGCCTCTGTGAACAATAAGTGTTATGCACTATCTGCTGTGAAGGCTGGATTACACAAGCACATTCTTGCTTCGGACATAGTCCACAGAAATATTGACCGCACAGTTAACAATTTCGGATCGCTATCTAAGGAATCAACTTCTGGATTAAAATCTGAGACATACTTCAGCAATGTTGGTTTCTAACGCGTATCATGCTCATATTATTTCTCTGCTGCATTTTTTTAGCGATTCTAGGACTGGAAACTTAGGGTGCTTCGCCTATGTTTTCCTACTTTTTATGGTTTTATCCATGTTACAACAAATGTCTGTCTAACAAGCATTCACTGAAGATATCAGAATTCAAGGATATTGTCTAAGAATTACTCGCAAAAACTCATATGATATCTCTTTTATGTAGGTACTTGCTGATATCGTTGAGGCTCTAGCAGGAGCAATTTATATTGATTCTGGATACAACAAACAAATCGTCTTTCAGAGCATACGTCCTCTCTTGGAGCCCTTGGTTTCTCCATACGATCGTTCATTCTGGAAGAGATTCCAAGGTGTATTGCCAAAAAAAAGCATTATGAAGTGCAGAAACCTGTCAAGTGCTTCCAAAGTGGTGCCGCTTCAATAGAGGTTGAAGCTGTTAAGGATACTGCAGGACTATCTACTAATCATGAACACAATGTATCAGATTAATACCTAGATACTTAGCTTAGTTGTTAAGTTTTGGTTTGTTAGAGTTTGTTGTATTAGAATGCTTAGACAGCATTACTGAGTATTTATGTATAACATACAACTTGTACTGAGTGTGAAATTAATGAGATTCATTCTTCAACAACCTCAGTCTCTCTCTAGATTCTCTCTCTGCCTAAACTCTCTCTAGAATTTTGTTTTCTTCACAGATCCTTGATTTCTAACATGGTATCATTCGCCGCTGTCTAACGACTTCGATCTTTTCCTTCTGTTTGTGTGCATTTTCTTACTTCCCAAACAGATCTTTCTCTCTTTCTTTTTCTGCGAATTGTTTGCTGCTTTCATGGCGACTACCTCTGATTCTCCTTCTTCTGGTCCTACATCTCATGGCGAGGTGTCTAATCTGCTTCATCCTTCGATTGGATCGATTACGGTTCAGAATGTTGCTGGCATGATTCCGATTAAACTCAATCGTCAGAATTATATTACCTGGCGTAGCTTGTTTCTTCCTGTTCTGAAACGATTCAAGCTTCTAGGTCTCGTTAATGGCGATGATCTATGTCCACCGGAATTTGTTCGTGATTCTTCTGGATCTCAGATTCTCAATCCTGCTCATGAACTTTGGTGTGAACGTGATCAGATTCTGACGATTTGGATCAACTCTACCCTTGCTGAGGATCTTCTTCCGTTGACGATTGGGATGGCGGATTCGCGATCTCTTTGGCAGTCTCTTGAGCGTTGTTTTGCTGGTGCTTCACGCACTCATGTGCATAGTCTTCGCTCCAAGATCCAGACTATTCAGAAAGGTGACTCTTCGCTGATCGACTACTTCAACTCCATCAAAGAAATCTCCGATAAACTGACTGCTGCTGGTGAGCCGATCTCTGAGAAGGATCTTGTAGCCTATATTCTTTCTGGCTTGCCTGATGAGTATGAATCATTTGTTGATTCCATTGAGACGCGATCTGAAGATGTGACTATTGATGAACTTCACGGACTTCTTCTCAGTAAAGAAATCTCGCTCCAGAAGCGTAAGACTCGATCATCTTCTTCCTCCTCATCACCTTTTCATGCTTATACAGCACAACAACATTCATCTGGCTCCAATTCTTTTCGAGGCAATTCTAGAGGAAAGTTTCAGAATCAGAATCGTTCTAATCAGCCTCGTCACATTGGTCCTAATCGTAATTTTGGTCCTAATCGCAATTTTGGTGGTGTTCTTGGTCCTGCTCCGAATCCGAATCGACCTTCATCCTCTGGTTTTATTCCTAATCACTATCAAGCGAGTTCCTCATCCTTTTCCTCTGGCCGATCTCTTCCTTGTCAGTTGTGTAATCAGTATGGTCATGGTGCTCTTTCTTGTGGCCGTCTTTCTCAATTTGCTTCTCAGCAATCTCCAGGTTTCCCTAATCCTCCTGTCGGTATGTCTGCCATGACCGGTTCCCCTTCTCCACGCTACTGGCTTACTGATAGTGGTGCTTCCCATCATGTGACTCCTGACCCTGCTTCTCTCAACTCCGCCATTCCATACACTGGCATTGACTAACTGTTTGTTGGTGATGGTAAAGGTCTCTGCATTTCTCACACTAGATCTGCTCTTATTCGAACTGCTAATGATGTGTTTAAACTACATGATGTTCTTTTAGTTCCTCAAGCATCTCATAACTTGCTCTCCGTATATCGATTTGTTCATGATAATTGGTGTTCTCTGACATTTGATCCATTTAGATTCTATGTCAAGGACCTACGCACTGGGAGGACGCTTTTCCAGGGCCTCAGTGAATGAGGTCTTTATCCTTTCTATTGGAATGCATCTAATGGCATATCTGGGATCGCTGTTTCTCCTCATGCTCTTATGATTGCTCAAGCTGATATCAATATCTGGCACAGAAGGCTTGGACATCCTTCTAGTGTTGTTTTAAATAAGATTGTTAATACAAGTCACCTGCATGTTGCTGGTTCAGTACATAAACAGTCTTTTTGTTCTGATTGTCAATTAGCTTCTAGGCTTCCATTTTCTGTTGTACCTTGTACATCCACTAGGCCATTTCATATCATTCATGCTGATGTATGGGGTCCTTCTCCCACTCCTTCATGTACTGGCTATAAATACTATCTTGTTTTGGTTGATGATTTCACCAAATATAGTTGGTTCTATCCTTTGCACTTCAAGTCTGATGTTTGTTCTGTCCTTAAAACTTTTGTTTTGAAAGTTCAGAATTGGTTTGACAGTACGATCCAGTGCTTGTGTTCTGATTCCGGGGGTGAGTTTCTCAATTCTGTTTTACAAGGATTTCTTAATACTCGGTATTATCCACCAGTTGAGTTGTCCTCACACTCCCCAGCAGAATGGTTGTGCCGAAAGGAAACACAGGCATATTGTTGAGATGGGTCGGACTTTGTTATCTCACAGTGGTTTGCCATCCAGGTTTTGGGTAGAAGCTTTTCAAACTGTTGTGTATCTCATCAATCGTCTACCTTCTCAGTCTTCATCATGTCCCTGGGAGTTATTGTTCAAGGCTGCACCTAAGTATCACACCTTGAAGACCTTTGGTTGTGCTTGTTACCCTTGGTTGCAACCTTATAGTTCTCACAAACTGGACACAAAGAGCAAGCTCTGTGTATTTTGGGCTACAGTTTGAATCATAGTGGTTACCGATGCCTCGATCCAGTTACCAACAAGTTATACATTTCCCGACATGTTGTCTTTGATGAAAATTCCTTCCCTTTTAAGCACCTCCATGCTTCTCCTACTACTTCTTCTTTATCCTCTATTCCACAATCCGCTCCTTCTTTTTTCTTTACTATACCAGTTCCTCCTTCCACACATTTACCCGTTCCTACTTCTTCTTCTCCAGCACCTACAGAACCTGTATCCCTTGCTCAATCTCCAGACTCTTCCTCCATTGCTCTTTCTCCAGAATCTGCATCCATTGCTCAACCTCCTGCACCTTCTATTCCAGTTAATACTCATACCATGGTTACAAGGGCTAAGGCCGGCATCCACAAGCCTAAAGTGTTCACTGCAACTAAACATCCTCTTCCTCCCACAGTTGATTCCCTTACTGTTATTCCTCCTACTCCAACCACCTACCTACAAGCTTCTAAGAATGCAAACTGGTTGGCAGCAATGCAGGCTGAGTATCAAGCTCTCCAATCCACTGGTACTTGGGTTCTAGTTCCTCCTGATCCTCAATATAATTTGGTAGGCTGCAAATGGGTGTTCAAACTCAAACATAAAGATGATGGTTCGATAGAGCGCTACAAAGCTCGGCTTGTGGCCAAGGGATTTCATCAACAAGAAGGCCTTGATTTCTCTGAGACTTTTAGTCCTATAGCTAAACCTACTACAATTCGTCTTCTCCTCTCTATTGCAATTACCTATGATTGGTTTATTCACGAGTTGGATGTGAGTAATGCCTTCCTTCATGGTTCCCTCAAAGAGGCTGTGTACATGGTGCAACCACCTGGTTTTGTTGATCCAGCCAATCCGCATCACGTTTGTAAACTGCAAAGATCACTCTATGGTCTCAAACAGGCACCCCGAGCCTGGTATGAAGCATTCTATGGTGCTATTCTCTCATTGGGATTTATTTCTTCCTCATCTGATACTAGTCTTTTTATCAAGAAAGACTCTACTGTTACCTTTATACTGGTTTATGTGGATGATATTATCATCACTGGGAGTTCGCCTACTATCTGCCACTCCATCATTTCGAAGTTGCAATCTTTGTTTCCTGTCAAAGATTTGGGAGATATTCATTATTTCCTTGGCATTGAGGTTCACCGATCCTCTACTGGTCTTTTTCTTCATCAATCCAAATATGCTTTGGACTTGCTTAAGAAGACCGATATGCTTGGTGTCAAACCTTGTTCTACTCCAGTGAGTTCCGACAAGTTGGATCATTCTGGCACCATTCTTTCTGATCCTGCTTTTTATCGATCAACTGTTGGTGTTCTTCAGTACTTGACATGGACTCGCCCTGATTTGGCTTTTGCAGTGAATCAAGTGTGCCAACACATGCATGCTCCTCGTACCATTCATCTCTAGGCTGTCAAGCGGATCTTACGCTATCTCAAGGGTACTGTTGACTTCGGTTTATGGTTTAAACCTGGCACTCAGTTTCTCACAGCTTGGTCTGATGCTGATTGGGCAGGTTGTCCAGTTGACCGCCGCTCTACTAGTGGCTATTGTGTTTTCTTGGGTCCAAATCTGATCTCTTGGAATGCCAAGAAGCAAACCACTGTGGCACGTTCGTCTATTGAAGCAGAATATCGATCTTTAGCCCATACTGCTGCTGAGATCACTTGGGTGTGTAAAATTTTGCAGGACTTCTCTTTTCCTCTTCTTCGCCCTCCTGTGATTTTTTGTGATAATCAAAGTGCTATTGCATTAGCTAAGAACCCTATTTTTCATGCTCGAACAAAGCATGTCGAGATTGATTACCATTACATCCGCGAAAAAGTTCTTCAAGGGCATATCAGCATTCATCATGTTCCTACTCTCCTTCAGATTGCTAATATTTTTACTAAGTCCTTATCTGCATCTCGTTTTGCTACTCTCAGTCACAAGCTTTCAATTTGTTCTCCTCCCTTCAGCTTGAGGGGGTGTGTTAAGGATACTGTAGGACTATCTACTAATCATGAACACAATGTATCAGATTAATACCTAGATACTTAGCTTAGTTGTTAAGTTTTGGTTTGTTAGAGTTTGTTGTATTAGAATGCTTAGTCAGCATTACTGAGTATTTATGTATAACATACAACTTGTACTGAGTGTGAAATTAATGAGATTCATTCTTCAACAACCTCAGTCTCTCTCTAGATTCTCTCTCTACCTAAACTCTCTCTAGAATTTTGTTTTCTTCACAGATCCTTGATTTCTAACAGAAGCGATATGGGTCACATAGAAGCAGACATCAACTTCTTCTAATACGGACACAGTGAAAAATTAAGCTCGCAAACAAGTTCTGAGGTCTCGAAAGGTCTTTGAATTAAACAATGGAAACAAGTTCAAAGGATGTTCCAGCATACATATAGCTTAAAAGACACTACGAATATTTGATGATGACTTACATCTGTATATTGTGCACTTCTGCCTTTTATATGATGCAATAAACTACAATTTTAACTGTGAAAAAAACCAAGGAAAACAAAAAACAAAAAAAACGAAAAAAAAACTGAGGTTCCTACCATGGACATGCAGCCCTCTTCTAGTTGCCCATACCTGCAAAATGTTTTAAAATAGACTGGTGAGCATCTACCAATAACGTTCAAGAGTCTAAATTTTGTGAACCAATTTTAAAAAGAACCGAGCTCAAGCTAGACTGACATGTATCGTCAAAACATAAGAGCAGCTCACAAGCTTGACTACCTGAGCATGCCGCAGATTAAACTTGGATCATTGAGGAAAACAAATGTAATGCTTTGTTTGATTATTTGTTTTACCTGAAGTCAGTGAGCAACTTGTGGCTTGAATGGGTTTGGAATTCCATCGGTTGGAATGACTGTTTCGAAAGCCTCTACGAGAAGTGATACTTTTCTTTTCCGAGCTGGAGTTAATCTGGCAACAGCTTGTTGAAGGGCATAATCAAGCATCCATTCCTCGGAATTCTTCCTGTCATCCATGTATAGATGCTTTAGATTAACCTTCTCTGCTTCGGGGTCAGGCGCAAAGGGCAGATATCGTGGCCCTCGTGGGTTGAACTTCTTTACATTTTCCATTGCCTTGATAAATCTGTTAAGAAGAATCATTTTTTTCAGATTGCTCCAGTTCTTCGACATTTTCTTGGCAGGTTTGTCTTCCGCCTCTCCGACTGAAATTTCTTCTTGAATGGTAGCATTATCAAACTTGGCAGAGTTGGTGGATTTCGACATGAAAGATTTCCCTTCTATGACAACTTTATTTTTTGGAGGTTCCTGCTCTGGACTTGATCCTCTAGTGCTTGATTTATCATCATCTGATTCATCCTGGTTCTCTGGAAGAACAATTTCATCAATCGCTTTCTCAACCTGCAGCTTGATTGCTTCAATATGGCGGAGTTCAACCTTTTTGTTGTCTTCATGGTGACTTTTCTCTTGATCTATTTCGGGCAATCTGTTGGCGTCGTCTACTTGTTCCTCTTCAGCTCCTTCGAGTGGTTTGTCTCCATCTTTTGCATCGATAGTTGAAGCCATATGCTTATACACTAAGAACCATAAGTTCGTATATTTCTGCTTTTCCAACCGGCCTTCATGTGCTACCCCGCTCACTTCTTCTCTTGCTGCCATTTGCTCCTCAGTTGATCCTATGGAAGCTAAAGAGACCACCGTGTTATCTGCTGTTGAGCCCACATGATTTTCAGTACTCTGGTCCTCAGATGAATTCAATTTTTCGGCAGTGTCGGCCATTAGTTTATTGGTCTCAGATTTGATGTTTTCCAATATCGGACCGAGGTTGCTAAGTTCCAAACTCGTGATTGAAGTAACTTCTTTGGAGGCTTCTTGAACCGCTTCATTTACGAGACCATCACAAATGATCCTACCGTGTTCATCTTGCTTCAAGGAGGTATCATCACATAACCATGGATCTTTGGTTTCTGATACAGCAAAATTGGTTAAGTCAATGACTTTGTCATCCAAATAGCAAGCATTTATAGAAACAATTTGATTCTTCTTCTGATCTTCACCAGTGGCCTCAGGAACAGTAATATCTCGCTTGGTTTGAATAAAACAGTGGTCTGTCCTGAGCAAATTCACTTGACTTTGCTCCTCTTGCATTTGAAAATCACTGACCTGATCTGGATACTCATTGAAACTTTTCTTTGGACATGACACATTCCCAAGCAAGACTCCGGCAGATGTTCTCGAGTGACTCTCTTCACCTTGATGAATAAAATTTTGAACTGACAAACCATTGCAGACTTGAGTATTTGATTCAGTGGAATTTGTTACATTGGACCTCTGGCTACTCTTAATTTCTGGAAACGGGAGAACTGTTTCAAAAGCTTCGACGAGCAACGCTACTCTTCTTTGTTGAGCTGGAGGTAGTTTAGATATAACCTGTTGAAGTGCATAATCAAGCATCCACTCCTCGGCATTCTTTCTCTCTTCTGTCTTTTGCTGCCTTAGATTGACCTTTTCTGCTTCTGAATCAGGATCCAAGGGCAAGTATTTTTGCTTCGGGTAATTGAGGTTCCTCACCTTGTCAACTGCCTTGACAAATCTCTTGAGGAGAATGAATTTTTTCAGACTGCTCCAGCTCTTGGGTGTTTTTTTGTCAGTCTTCTCTCCAACTTCTGATACTGTTTTCGCTTCTTTTGTATTTTGTGCTGTACTGTCCTCAGACGAACGACTGGTGGCAATTGAAGTCCTCCGCTCCCCACTCTCATCCGTAGTCTGTTCTAATGCTTCCCAGTCTGACCTGACGCCACTAGTAGATGATTCATCATCATATGAGCAGTCCTGAATTTCCGGGAGAAGAATGCAATCAAATGCTTCCTGCACCAGCTGAATGGCATCATGGCGGCATATCTCAGTAGTTTCGCCTCCTGCGCTGTGATTTACGAAAGCTGTATGATCATCTATTTCGGAGAAACTTAAATTGTCATTTTCACAGATGGTGTTGGCACCCTCTAGTTGTTCTTCCTTGTCTGATCCATTAAGAGGGAGCTGGTCATCAACATTTGGAGTGACACCTTTTATAGCGTGCTTGTACATCAACTGCCACATTCGGGTATATTTCTGATCCTTTGCATGCTTACTTCCACTTTTGTCCTCCTTACCTGCATTTTGTTCCTTCGAAGCTTGAGAATCAGAAGCAGCAGAGATTTCATTGTTCCTTGTTGATTGCACAGCTTCTTGAGGGATTGGTCTTTCCAATTTATTGGGTAGTTTGACAGTTGTGCAATCATCGACCTCCATAGTTTTTCCAAACAATTTAGGATCACTATTGCTGGGATCATCTGTGCAAGTGGATTGAACACCTTCATTGTGATTAGATGCTGCAATTTTCTCTTCCTTCCAGTCTGTGTTGGTGGCTTCCAAATCTGTACCAATGCAACAACATTCCGGACTTACACCATCCGCTGCAGGGAGTGACACCATAGCATTCATTTTATGAACTGCGCCATTTCCATTGCAGGCCATGTGATTCGTCTGATCCTCCTTAGTTTTGCCAGACCTTTTCACTCTCTCCAACGGTTGAGTTGCCCGTGTCACTCCCCTCTGAGCCCTCAACATGCGCCTCCTTATCGAAATGAGGCGCTTGAGTGGGGGTACATTGGTGTGGCGATGACCATGAAGTGAGCAGTAAGTGAATGGACAAACCTTGGCGGCCGAACCCCCCTCAGATTCAGTTCCCTCTGCCTCATGATCCCCAATTTCAGGCAACTTGGAAGCTTTGAGGGCCGAAGAACATGTAGCTCTTTGTACTCTGAATTCCGGAACTTTAGGGAGTTCAGAGTGTTTTGTCATCATAGATTTTGTTGGGACATTCAACGCTGAATTGTGACCAGAAAAAGTTTTCGGCTTTAAATTAACGGATCTTGGAGATGATGATTCTGCATCGCTGGTTGACATTCTTGAGCAGGCAGAACTTGCAAGCTTAGACATTCTTGATTTCTTGAGATTAATATTATTCATTTGGGTTCCTCCAGAGCACTTCCTCATCAAAGGGTTTCTAAATTTTAAGCTGGAAATTCTCGTCAAATTCTTTGCAGGCTTAAAACTAGACCGTCTCGTTAATGTTCTTGCGGAATTCTACACATAAACCAAAACAGGAAAATTCACAAAAAAGAAGGGAAATCGTCAATTTCCAGCTATTTTAATTGGTAAGCAAAGGCAATAAGAATTCAACATATGTGTAGTTCCGCTCGCCTAATCCTCTATTCTCTTCGCCATATATTATCCTTTAAAAAAACAAAAGAGATCAAGAATTTAACAGACTTGCCTGTAGGTTTTCAGTACTTGTATCAGAAGAACCATCAGTGGAGGATACATGGTGATTGGATATACTGCTGGATCTCTTTCGGTACGGCTTCAGGCTTGGTGATTTGGAGAGCTTGATTGATGTCAACTTTTTCAATTTCTTCTTCTTCTTCTTCTTCTGCAGCAGCAGCTCTCCTTGGCTTCTGCCAATCTGGTTTTGCAAAACAGATGGTGACAATTTCTCACACATTTGGCTGGAATCCAAATCAGCTCCAAACTCAGGCTCCTTATCATCCATTATCTTTCCCTTGACAGAATTCAAGTTTTCTGATATGAATCTAGCTGCTTTTCTTCTTCTTTGTTTTGTCTTGTTTCTGTTTTTTCTTTTCAGAAGGGAAGAAAGAAAACGAATTTGGTGGAAAGAAGGGTTTTTGCGGACTCTGTTTTGGGAGATGACTCAATAAAAAGAATCCAAGGATTGGTGTTTTCAGAATTTTCTAACTTGATCTTAAAATCCAGGTATGCAATCAAAATAAATAATAAGAGACATGAATAACAGCTGAGTTTGAAGAATAAGGCTGAGGTTGGACTTCGATTTCTTGACTTGTATGCATACTATTGCAATTGACTTGACTATTCACCCCCTCCTTTATCTTTTCCTTTATAGGGATGAACAACTGTGACACATTATTAAAAGTTCTTGGTTGGAATGACCTTTAATTCTTTTCTTCTTATTTTTTAATTAGAAGCGATAGCACAACTCAATGTGACAGCAAGTGACGGAACCGAGATTTTTAATAACAGGATCATAATATTAATCAAAAATATTTTATTGGGCCATTTTGTTGTGCACCTAACCGACACTCACTAATTTCTGCCAACATATATCAGTAGCTTATGGCAAGATATGTCGACAACTACTATTATGTAGAGGCTTTTCAAGAGTGGATGAAAGATATTGTAGAGTAATGTTGAAGGCTACCAAAGCTTGACAACTAAGATATTTCATCAAGCACACAAGTAAGAGTTGTTGAACTTGAAGAAGTGGGAGAAGGAGATTGTAATCAATAGAGTCGCACACAAGAAGAGAGAACGCAAAGTTCGAAAAAAGAAGTGAAGGAGATTGTAATCAATAGAGTGAAGAGAGAACGTGAAGACAGAAGAAAAGTTTGAAGGAAGAAGTAGTTATTAAAAGTAAAGAACATAAACAAATATTTATAAGGTTTTTGAAGTTGTTCCTATGGTGGCTCCACTGAGTAAGAGAATGAGAGGGTTTTAATTTAGACTTAATGGATTAAAGAAGAAAACCTTAATCATAGAATCTAGAATAATCCAGCACTTACAAAATGATGAGAAACAAATATGGCAATAGTTCAAAACTTTCATTCTCATAATTTGAGAGAAAAAAAATAAAGGGTAAATTACGTCCTCAGGTTTGGGTGTAATTATAACCTCATACAATATCTTTAAAACATTTTAATCTTATAAATTTAGTTATCATTTCATTTCAATTTCATACAACCGTTAAAAATTCTATTAAATTAGTTGTTAAGTGATGACGTGGTTACAGTGGGTCTCACATTTTTACTTATGTGGCTGACAACTTCTGCCACATGAACAAACAATTAATTTTTTATTTAAAAAAAAAAAAAAAAACCCTTCAAAAATAGAAAGAAAAAAAAACAACCTTCCACAGCCGCTCTCCACCCCAAAACTGCAAATGCAAAGCCCCAACCCTGGATCTTCCATCCCCTCCAGTACGTCGTCAGCATCTTCGTCCAAATCCTAAATTTTCCCAAACCCAGGTCCAGGTTACAGGGGCCGAAGCCGGCATCAATGGCAACAACGGATGAGGAAATGGGGTTTGCAGGGGTAGAGGGAGAATGCGGCTGGGGGAAGGGGAAGACATGAATTTTAGGTTTTTTTTTTTTTTCAATTAATTATTTTAGTATTTAATATTCTGATTAAATTATTATTTTTTAAATGCATATAAAAAAAATGTTGGAATGTGATATAAATTTGACAGCCGTTTATTTTTCAAGTTGCACCTCATATATCATCTTTGCAAAATATTAGTCAAATCGAAAATATTTAAGACATCTAATTGGGTTCAAAATAATTAACGAATACATTGTTATATAAGAAACAATGAAATTTTATTTTGATAATTAAATAGGCAAATGGTTTCAGATTGAATTGAATTTTTGTAAGGATGATCTATGAATCGAGAGTTACAAAATAGATTGTTCAGATCGTTGAAGTTCAATGTGGAGTTGGTCCTACTATATATATATATATATATAAGAAACAATGAAATTTTATCTTGATAATTAAATAAGCAAATGGTTTTGAATTGAATTAAATTTTTGTAAGGATGATCTATGAATCGAGAGTTACAAAATAGATAATTCGGATCGTTGAAGTTTAATGTGGAGTTGGTCCTACACCTAATCCCCATATATATATATATGTGTATGTGTGTATTATCACCAAGAATCCAAAGTGGGATCTCAAGTATCAACTAGTTAAAGTTTAAACCCACGATAAAGGTTACATATCTGCCACGGTTATATTTTTGGTATGAATATCTTCGGCAATAATTATTGACTAAAAAATGATTAAACTGGATTTTGATTGTATTTCACATTCAAGAATATGAGTCCATTTCTGGAACCGGATTCTCTTCTTGGTGAGGATCTTGGAGATTCGTCAATCTTGTTATTTCATCGTACATCATGCGATCAGAAATTATTTTAAATATTTTTATTTAAAATTCAACACATACAGTACTTGATAAAAATTAACTACATGATATACAATGAACGAACACGATTCATAAATCCTCAGAATCCTCATCAAAATGATCCGGAGAGGATCTTGTTGGTACATTTCTCAATCCCCTAATCCAAGGTAACCGCTATTTCTCTGGTAGGATTGTTTCACGTGTCTGTTTTACTAACAATAATTACTTTATGCATTTAATTAATCTTTAAGGAAAAGATTAACAATTAAAAAAAATCTACCATTTATTCCTTAAAATATAAGGAAAACTAATGAAAAGAGTTTTAAAACTTTGAATTTTAAAGATAAAGACAAAATAAATGATAAAATGAATAGTATCAAGATTAATATTTTAGTGTAAAAATGTATTTTTTCATTAAAGTGAACAGTACAAAAAACTTTTCGATAAAATTCCTTAAAATATATCCTTACAATTGATGATTGATGTAATAAGGTAACAATGGTTAGTTAAATAGACACGTGACACAATTATGGAAGAGAGTAGTGATTATCTTGGAGCAGGAGGTCTGCAAAAAGCGCACTCGAAGAATATTTGCATGTTCACATCATGTATGTAGATTAGCACATAGCTCGGCGTTATTACACGGTAGTTCAAAACACGGAAATTTCGATGGAAATATCGGGATATTATCGATATTGATAAAAATTGAATAAAAACCATAGAAATTGTAAGAAAAACTTGGAAATTTTTATTAAAACTTTGCAGGATGTTTATTTAGTCAATTATCTATTAGTTTATCACAAAAAATTGGAAGAAAATGCATTGCATGATAGATATAACTGATTTAAGTTGATTATATAGCGAGCTGGCAAACATTGTGAGTGTAGAAAATATGTAGTAATTAATTAAGGAAGTTTAAACACACCATAATCATTTATATATAATGAATTAGTACAATATTTTACACTTTATACATTGCATGGTAAAATACATAAGTGACTTAACAAGGTCTAAAATATCGATAATATCGAAAATATCGTTAGTCCAAAAAAATATCGATAATCCAAAAATAAGGAAATTTTAATAAAAATATCATGATATTATGGATATTTTAGACCGTGATAGTGAGAAACCCACCCACCAACGTATCCACATATTTAAATGTCATTGATTTTCTGGAAGGAAGTACAATATTAAATAATAATACACGAGATGATGGAATGTAGACGGCCTCAATAAAAAATTTGACAAAATTTCAACCCAGATGAATCAGAAAAGAAGGGTCCCGCACCTAATATTATACACAGAATGACTATCCTCTATTGTGCGAGACAATGCACCACACCATGGGGTTCCTGCTTTACACGTTGATATGGTTGAAAAATCAAAATACGCACAACAAAATACGAACAAAGTTATGAAACTAGGAATATTATTTAATTAATTGAAAAACAAATAAACAACATTGTCAAGACGGCTACAAACTGAGGACTATAATTTGAACTTATTTCTCATACTAAATTACAAGTTATATTTATAGAGACCTAAACCCAAGAAACCTTAATATATAATATACCAAAATTACCTAACAATAATATAAACCTAAAACTAGGGCTGGGCACAGGCCGCGCTGAGCCCAAATTTGGAGGAACCAGACCCTACCCATTTAAAATTTAATGGGGTGGGCTGAGTCGGGTAGAGGGATTTTGAGTTTGGAAATCGGATCTAATATCGGCCCGTTTGCCACGGGTTCAATTACTTCTTCTTTTTTTCGGTTTTGGGCATACGGAGATTGAAGCAAAATGAGGTGGAGGAGGCGGTGGCTACAAATTCATAAAAGACAAAGGGTATGTTCAATGAAAACCCAAATTCTCTAAGAACCCACAAAAAATTCACAAAAAAAAAAAAAAAAAAAAAAAAAACAAACAAACAAAGGGACGACCTCGTTGAGGCCGTCTTCCTTATCATAGAAGAGAATCGGTGGGAGAAGAAATTTTCCCCACCTGAAGTTATTGTCTTCCTCAGTCCTTTTTCTTAGGACGCGAGACCCCAACGGACATATGAGCTTAATGTGTAGGCTTCCTCTCTTCTTCTTCATGCCTTGCCTTCAATATTTTATTCCTCTTAACTGTAGTCCACAAATTAGCAACATCATTCACAAAACCCTAACTGCAATAGAACTCACAGATATATAGACTTTTTGGGGAAAAAGAAATTACAAGTGCTTCTTTGTCGACCAATATGTTGGATTTCAAGTTAAGAAAAATAAATAAATTCAGAGTTTCAGCTGGGATTCTATGAGTGAGGGAGCAGAGGCAGAACCGAACAAGCACCACAAAATCAACTGATTTAGACCAGATTGGGTGGTCAGCAGCCGAGTTGTTCCCTTCCGTCTTCTTTGAACTGTTTGAGCCCATCGTCTTCTTCGAACTAGAGCCTTGCAATTTTCGTCTTCTCCGATGGTGATGTGATGTGGTGTCGTCATTGTCGAGGGGGAGAAGAGTGGGGTGCAAAGGAATGAAATTTGGTGTCGTCGTTTGACGACGCTTTGGATGCAAAGGAAAGATTGGGATTTTGAAGGAATGAAATTTGGGAGTGGGATGGAATGGATAATGGATTAGGGTTAGAGAATTACTAATGGAAATGGTTGTTATAAACGGGCCGTTCGGGACCCGTTATTCCAAATCCTAGGGCTCGGCCCGCCTCTTCCCATTTCTATTCTCAAAAAATTAGAACTGCCCTGTACCCATCCTGAACCTAAATTACCCGCCCCTACCTACGGTTCCTATACCAGTTTGCCCACCCCTACCTAAAACTAATATTTTCAAACAGATACCTGGATTGAAGAATCTCTGCCATAATTTTTTTTTTTGTATTATTA